TTGTCCCGTGATCACCGGAGGTTGCCTGCAACTGATTTGAAGCTCCCCCTTTTCTGCAGGCGGGCACCGCCATGCAAAGACTCATATTGGTTTTTCCTGATGCATCCCGCTGGCAGTCGCGCGCCAACAGCTGTGTCTATAAGTTGTAACTGCGAACATTCCATTTACCTGACGTTCGTGTGCGTCCGCCACAATTCGGGCGCACTGCCGTAGACTGCTGTGCATTGCTGTAGGTCCTGCTGTAAATCCATCTTCGAAATCTGATAGAAATCTATGCTATAAAGCAGTAGCTGCGGGAAAGCTGCGGCCATCTTTGGGCGCATTGACTCGACCAAGGTTTTCCACAAGAGACAAGTCGTCATGTCAGATGGGGATCTCTACAGTCGTCTCCTTCTCACAAAGCGCCACGGTTACCCTCTATCCCATCCACAGCCATGCGACAATCTTCCCGAAGAATCCAGAATGAAGGGTATAGAAATCGGGGACGTCGGAGTTCTGACACCCGATGGATCGTTCGATGTTTTCTTCAATATCTGCCGTGAATCGGACGACCCAGTGAACCGTTTTGGCGTTCCTTTTGGATTTGTACCAGTCCCGCTGGGCCCCAACGATTTCACTTCCTGGGAGACGTACCACCCACCAGGGTCCCATGTATCAAATACGACGATCAGCAAGCGGCGGTTGGATGTTAATGCTGGAGTGGAGAATAATGTGCAAGTGATAATTTGCCGCATTCTTATCCTCTGTACTGATCTCCGCACTCCCAGGTTTTTGCCAGTCGGAGCAGGGGCAGAGGTGGAGATATCTACTTCTTCAAAACAGACTGCAGTCCTCCTATTGCCGGATGGCGCGTCACGAACCGACCTACGGTTTCCGGATAGATTCAGGGATCACGCCCTAAAGCACGCCAAGTCTTGGTACAATTTTTTGAGCGGTCTCGGACGCACATTGGAGAACGGCGAGTTGTATCTCATCACTGGAGTCGACAAGTCGGCGTCGTGGAGTGTGGCGGCAGTAGAGAATTACACCGAAGATTGCACCATTTCTCTGAAGCTCAAGGCCGCTCAGATTGGGTCCGCAGGGACCTCGTACGCGTGGGAGTGGGAGACCGTCGCCAGGTTTGCAGATTCAGGACCGCGACGCCCGCCTGGGGAAGACTCCGGGGCAAAGAACCAAACGGTGTTCCTGCGTGGTTTCAGAATCGCGATACCGTCCTTGCCCTGGAGCAAAAAAACAATAGCGCTACCGATTGTGGAGCCCCAGTCCTCCGCCAACCTTACATGGTTCCGGACTTTGTTTTTTCGGTCTCCATCGCGCCGTACACACACCATCTCTCATGGTCGAAGCACCGGACATGACGTGTTGCGAGATGGAGAGTTTGAACCAATCATATATTCTCCTGCGACTCATAAAGTGCGTATAATTTTACAGGTTCAAACCAGTCATTTACATCTGAATTAGCCGTATCATCCTGCTGATGCAATTAACAAGTACCTCGTCACTGCTGTAAGTTCTACTGCATTACGAATTGTGATAACGGGCTGAAGAACGGACAGTCTTCTTCTGAAGTACTCGCAGTAGTAACTCACGACAGTGAATGGGCGTTCGTACTGCGTGAGGTGTGTCCTCTCTGTGACGGCATGCTCCCCATTTATTCTGTTCTTGGAAGGATGAAGACGTTCCAACGGAATCCGAGCTCATCAGACGAATTTGCGAGAAATACACTTTTGGTATGTCTGTTCTTTGAATTCGTTGCTAGATTCTAATTCACATTCAAGCTGGAGGATATCTTCAACGACGCGGCACAGGTAGTACGACTCCACACGTTTCCTCTCCCCTGCCTGGGCACGTTGCTGGAAGTGCTAGTCTCTCTTCGTACACTGTGACTCCCCCCGTCCACACCGTTGCTGTTCGGGAATCTGGACATCGGCTCCCTCTCCGCATTGCTTCTCTACAGGAATTCGGACATCGAAACCTGTACAGATGTTTAGTAGTGCTCGCACTTTTGTGGTTGTTCCCTTATCGAAGCAACATCTACGCCTACGTTACGGTGGCCATGTCTGTCTTATTTTGGGTCTACGCCGAGTATTATCGACTCGACGGCAGGATGAAGCGTCTCCGAGGCTCAATAAATTATGTCGAAGAAGGACTATATCATGTCGAAGGACGACTCGTTTTCACCGGGGCCATGAAGAACTCTGAGTAAGTTTTCCTGTTGTCGCAATAGTAATGAATCGACTAATACCTCAACAGTGTTCAGAAATCAGCGTCCCACATTAGGGAATCGTTGCTCCACCTTAAGTTGTCTATGTCCCACATTCAGGAACGTCTGCCTTGGATAAGCTCCACATGGGCACCGCAGTTCAGGGCACGGGTGCAAATCTCGATGGATATTGGTACATGCGAGCATGGATTACGACGGATTCAGCAACACCTTCATCTTTTGGGACTATTACAACAGAAGTTAAAGCGCGAGCGCGAGCCACAAAACGGCGTGGTTTCATTGGGAGCACAAGCCGCCAAAATGGAGGAAGTGCTTGTTGCAAGAGAGGAAATGTTCAGGAGAGCGGTGGAAAGGAGGGGAGACGACGGCGCATAATTTGCGAATATGACGGGTGTGATGCGCTTGAAAGAGACGACGGCGCATAGGGCGAACGCAGGGGTGGGGTAGGAGAAGGGTAAGAGTGTGAAGTGAAGGGCGGGGCTTTGGCTGGCGTTGGCAGGAAGGAAAGACGCCTAATTTATGTAGCGGAGGGCGGCAGCATGTAGGGTATAGTGCAAAAGACAGGATGAAAGAAGCACTGGGCCGCGAAGGGGATAGGGGAGAGGAGGATAACAACGCTCACCTTAATAAGCACAGTTGAAAGCACCACCACAACGTTGGGATACGCAGCCACCGGCGCACCCCCACACGCTTTCGCCAGGAACGCATCGCAAAACTCTGCATAGGCGCGAGGCGTGTGCGTCCACGCGTCCGGGTGGTCTGTCCCTCCTCGTCAATACCCTACTTTCAACGTCAAATACACGAGACACACGCACCCTTGAGAAATCCGAGGAGCCCGCCCCACATGGCGCCCTGGACGGCACCGTCGGGCTCGACCCATGCGAAACGCAGGACGGCGTGCGCAAGCACGGGGACGAGGGCAGGCGGGAGGGGCCGGCGCGCGAGGACGGCGGGGAGGGCGGCCCAGGCGGCGCGGCGCAGTGCCGGTTGCGCGAACCCGAATCCTAACCCCGACTCCTCGTCCGCGCCGGGCTCGAGGAATGGTGGCGCGGCGGCGTGGTGCAGCGCAGACCAGAGCGCGGGCTCCTCTAGGAACGGGGGAAGCGGCGCGGGTGTCGTTTCTGTGTCAAGTTAGAGTCAAAGTAGTGTAGAAGTATAGGATTGTTGTACGGACCAAGGATATACTTGAGTGCGCCAAACGCCGCGATGCGCAGACGGGCGCGGCGGTCGGACTCGCTTTCGTCGAGCTCGTCTGCCTTTGCGCGCACGGGGGGCGGGTCAGCCATGCCCGTGGGGCGCTTGGATGCGGGGGGCGGCGGTGCGGGCGGCGGGGGCGGGTTGAGCTCGGCGTAGAGCGCGTCGGGGTGCATGAGCGTGCGCTCCACAAACGCGAGTAATACCGATGCCTCCGGGTCGGCCGACGGGACACGGGCGGCGGCGGCGGTGGCGGCGACGGCGCGGTCGACGTCGTGGGCAGCGAGGGCCCAGGTGCCGGCGGCGTTGTCCGGGGCGTCGTCGGCGAGCGGGCCGCGCAGGAGCGGGATACGCAGCAGGGCGGCGTGCACACCCGCCGTGAGCAGCCGGATGCGCCGGGACGGGTGCACGAGGTGGGCCGGGAGGTGGTGCAGCCACACCGGCAGCATGTCCAGCAGCGTGTACACCGTCGTGCCCTCGCCGCCCTCGTCCCCGCACCGCTCGACCCACCCGCTCTGCAGCTCCTCCAGCGCCCGCACCTTTGTCACCGGTGCCTTCTTCCCCAGGCTGCGCAGCACCACCAGCAGCTCTGGCGGCAGTCTGTGCGCAAGGCCCGTCGTTTCCAAAGGGTCGGGCTGCGCGGCGGATGGTTTTACGGGGGCGACTAGTGTGGCGGGAAATAGGTCTGTGAAATTTACTTCGGCTAATTAGCCTTGCTAATTAGCTGCTAATTAACCGGAGATTCTCAGAGCCCAAAAAGAGCCTGTAAAATAGGGTCTAATTGACCCTAGTTGACCCGTCCAGATTGCGTCCAGACCTCGGCCCTTGGTCGAAATATTGTGATTTCGGCCACCTTCAACCAACCTTCGCCCACGTTTCTGTCGAGCTGCTTGATTAAATATGGAAGAGAAAAGAGAACACTCTGCCGAAGTGTTCGGTGGCCAAGAATGAAGCAAATTTCGGTCATTTTCGGCGAGATAATGGCCAAATCACCTTGATGCGAGTGGTTTTACGCTTAAAAAGCCAGATTTTGGTCCTAGGAGTCGCTCTGGACGGCCAAAAAGGACGGGTAAATTTGGGGTAAATTAACCACGGTCAAATAGGTCAAATAGACCTCGACGAAAGTGCCGAGGTCATTTACCTCTGTCAACCAGGCCCCAGGTCTATTTCCCGCCACACTAGGGGCGACGTAGATTTTTTGGCGCGGCGGGTCAGACCTGTGTTTCTTGCCCTTCTTTTCGCGCGGCACTTCTGGTTCGACGGGCCCCGCCGCCTTGCGCGCGTGCTTCTTCCGGGTCCCAGACGATGCAGACGATTTCGGCGGCATTGAGGGTGGTGGGCGGAGGCGAGTCAGGAAATCACGTGATAGCGGAAGCGATTCGATTTCTTCTTTCTCGCTTTGACCGACCGGAGCGCACTCGACAGATCATATGCATCTCACTCATCCTCCTCCTCATTATAATCCAATTTCAATGTGCGTGATTTTTTTTTTTGGACTTCAACAGACTTCAACATCTCTCATCGATTCGGCATCACTCCCATCCTCGAGGTCTTATCGCATCATCGCACCAAATGCATCATTGGCCTGGTAGCACAATTGGCTATAGTGTGTCTGCTGATACATAATATCGGGAAAATGTAGTATGCAGAAGATCCCCGTTCGATCCGGGGTCAGGCCATGTCTTGTTCGGGAGGTATTTTTGCTTTCTTTCTCTTTCCTTTTTCTTCTGAATCTTTTCCTTCTTTCATTTTCTCTCACCTGTCGACTCGGCTCTCGAGCCACATTTCTTTTTGTCGTTGAACCTACTCAATTCAAATTTCAACCCAAAATCAATTTCCCTCGTGCAATGGACGACCACCCAACGCCCCCTCTTATTCGTGGATAACCCAGATGAAGAATGATCTGGTAGCACAATCGGTAGTGCATCTACTGCCAGTCTAACATCTCCCGGACGAGTACTTAGAAGATCCCGGTTCGACCCCGGGTCAGATCTTTTTTTTTTTTTTTTTAAAAAAAAATCTCTCCCCGCTGTTACCGTCCAAATTTGAGTTTTTTTAGGCAGAGAGTTGATTGGACATTTTGGGATCCAGAATGCAAGCACTTCTGCGCAAAGGCTTTGTTTGCAGGTAATTCAACCAGGAGTAGTTTAACCATCATCATTATAAAAATAAGCAGGAACGGATTCATCAGTAGATAACTGCTAGCTAATACCCCTGGTAGCACAAGTGGTAGTGCGTCTGTTGAAGGTGATCTAGTTAGTCCCTCCTTGTATTCGCAGAAGATCCCGGTTCGACCCCAGGCCAGGTTATTCTTTTGTCCTTTTCTCTCTCCCCGCTGTTACCGTCCAAATTTAAGTTTTTTCGGGCGGAGAGTTGATTCGACTCTGGGATTCAGAATGCAATATAGTACTTCTGAGTAGAGCTTTGTATGCAGGTTCAACCAGGAATAATTCAACCGTCGTCATTATAAAAATAAGCAGGAGCAGATTCATCCGTAGATAACTGTCAGGTAATACCCAGCCATGAGACTTTGAAGGAATGACATGGTAGCACAAGTGGTAGTGCGTCCGTTGAAAGTAAAGCTGGTAATAAAATATATCTGCGGATGATCCCGGTTCGAGTCTGGGTCAGGTCAATTTTTTGCCTCTTTTTGCTCTCTGAGTCTCCGTAATACATTTCTGGTCCGATTACTCAGAAAAACTCTTTCCAGCGTCTCAGCTATCCCGATACAACCTGTGTTTCCGGTTGTTACAGGAAATTGAACCATTAATTTTGACTGTAAACTAAGACCAAAACCCTCTCTAGATCATAAAGGAATAAGGGGAAGGAATGACCTGGTAGTACAACTGGTAGTGCATCTCTTGCATGTTTTCAAGTATGCTTGTAGTATGTTCAGAAGATCCCTGTTCGAATCAGGGTCAGGTCATTTTTTTAAAAACATTTCTGTAAATGACCTTTTTTTTTGAACTGCGGCGCAGTTCCTCCTTACTTGAAACACGAAAAATTTCGACCCCGTTGAAGCGCGCCGGCATGGACATTCGTGACGGTTGAGATTTGGAGTCCAGTGGCACGTGACAAATAAGAAGTCGCTGCAAAACAGCCCACAACATCGATTTTTCGCTTTGACCACTGATGCTGCCACAATCGACTGATTCGAAGGCAGAATAGCTGAAAACTGGTCGACCTGTAACCTTTGGTAGCTGGCACGCATCTAACACGGACCAACCACCGCCGGCACGCATGCGCAGTACTTGGCACACGGTGCACGCTGCGACTCGTTTCACCGACCGAGAAGCCAAGAAGATCACTAAGTCGGACAGCCTTCGACTCTTTTTCCGAAGATATTCACAGAATATTTACCCAATACCGTGACAAACGGCGGGTGCCCTGACCTTAACCCACAAATTCTGAGTCGCTGACAACCTGCCGTTTTTTTTTGGTAAATGTTCATTCTTGTGGTGCAACCTATTTACAGCGTAGGCTTGGGGAGAAGGGCTAGATATGACCCCGTCAATGATATGTATCCCGCTGGCAGTCGCGCGCCAACAGCTGCGTCTATAAGTTGTAACTCTGATTCCAATTTATCTGACGTTCACGGCCGTCCGCCACAATTCGGGTGCACTGCCGTAGACTGCTGTGCATTGCTGTAAGTCCTGCTGTAAATCCATCTTCGAAATCTGATAGAAATCTATGCTATAAAGCAGTAGCTGCGGGCGGGAGCTTTTGGTACGTCTCCATATTCTTTCGACCCCGTCTCTGACTGTTCACCCTTGGGTACTAACTTGGCTAAGATTTTCCACAAGAGATAGACAAGTCGTCATGTCGGATGGGGATCTCTACAGTCGCCTCCTCCTCACAAAGGGCCACGGATACCCACTGTCCCATCCGCAGCCATTCGACGATCTTCCAGACGAAATCAGAATGAAGGGTACAAAAATCGGGGATGTTGGAATTCTAACGCCCGATGGATCATTCGACGTTTTCTTCAACATCTGCCGTGAATCCGACGACCCAGTGAACCGTTTTGGCGTTCCTTATGGATTCGAAACCGTTTATCTGGGCTCTGGAGATGTCGCTTCCATGGCGTCGTACCACCGACCAGGATCCCATGTATCAAATACCACGATCAGCAAGCGGCGGTTGGATATGGATGCTGGAGTCGAAAATAACGTGCAAGTGATAATTACCGTGCCGTTTGGCCTCGGTACTGATCTTTTACCTCCCAGATTTTTGCCAGTGGGAGCAGGGGCAGTGGTGGAGATATCCACCTCTTCGAAACGGACAGCGGTTCTCCTATTGCCAGATGGGGCCTCGCGAACCAACCTACGGTTTCCGGATAAATTCAGGGATCACGCACTGAAGCACGCCCAGGCTTGGTACGATTTCTTGAGCGGTCTCGGACACATGGTCGAGAACGGCGAATTGTATCTCGTCACTGGGGTCGACAAGTCTGCGTCCTGGAGTGTGGCAGCAGTCGAAAATTATGCTGAAGATTGCAGTGTTTCTCTGAAACTCAAGGCCGCTCAAATTGGGTCCGCAGGCGCTTCGTACACGTGGGAGTGGGAGACCGTCGCCGCGTTTGCAGATTCTGGGCCGCGACGATTACCTGGGGAAGAATTGGGGGCAAAGAACCAAACGGTGTTCTTACGTGGTTTCCGAATCGCGATACGGTCTTTGCCTTGGGGCAAAATACCAAAAGCTATACCGATTGTAGATTCCAAGCCCACCACCAACGTTTCAGAGACATGGTTCCGGACTTTATTTTCCCGATCTCCATCGCGCAGTACACAGAACGTCTCGCGCGGTCGAAGCACTGGACATGATGTGTTGCGTGATGAAGAGTCTGAATCAATCGTATATTCTCCTGCAATTCATAGAGTGCGTATAATTTTTCACAGGTTTCAAACTAGTCATTTACACTTGAATCAGCCGTATCATCCTGCCGATGCAATTAACAAGTACCTGATCACCGATGTAAGCCCAAGTTCTACTGCATCTACGAATTGCGGCAACGGGGCTGAACGGACAGTCTTCTTCCGACCTTGTCGCAGTAGTCACTCATGACGATGAATGGATGTCTGTACTCCGTGAGGTGCGTCGGCTATATCATGGCATATTCCTCCATTTATTCTATTTTTGGAAGGACGAAGATGTTCCAACGGATTCCGAGCTCATCAGACGAATTTGCGAGAAATACACCATGGGGTCCACTTCTGGTATCTGTGTTATACTTTAAATTCGTCGCTAGATTCTAATTCACACTCAAGATGGAGAATATCTTGAGCAGCGCACCCAAGAATCCAGACTTTTTTTTCCCTTCCACATTGCCTCTCTACCGAAATTCGGACATCGCAAGCTGCACACATACCTAGTACTGGTCGTACTTTTGGGGCTGTTCCCTTATCGAAGTATCTGCAGCTACTTTGCTGTCGCCACGTCTGTTCTATTTTGGGTCTATGCCGAGTATTATCGACTCCATGACCGGATGAAGCGTCTCCAAAGCTCATTCGATCTAACGATAGGCGGCCTAAATATACGCTCAATAGATCTAACGGTAAGCAGCCTAAATACAGGGAACAATCCATCATCGCACGGTTATAAGTAAGATTTCCTCTCTCTGTTTCCGCATTGGTTGAAAAATATTCTAGCGGTGTTGATGTTAAAATATGGGTTTCCGCTTGCCACATTCGGAAATCTATGTCCCGCATTCGGGTACGTCTACCTTGCATAAGCGAGACCTGGGCACCCCAATTCAGTGCACGGGTGGAAATCTGGAGGGAAATTCGCAAATGCGAGCAGGAATTACAACGGATTCAAGAACGGCAAGAGGAGTCACGCCGAGAGCAGAGGTCCAACGTGGAATCGTCACACATGTAATGGTGGAACCCAGGGAGGGCATAGATGTTAGGCAACAGTTGAAGAGCAAGGACAATATCTCAGTATATATCGAAATAGCGGGGACGAGAATTAGACTTACGTTAACCTGATTGAAAAAAAAAACCCCATTACCGTGCCTTCCAACGGTAACATCGTCGAGGCTGACGAGCTTTACGATTCCGCTGTCCTCAACCGCTGTATTTCTCGTCGTCGACAAGCCTTGGTTCTGGGTTACAGCGCAAGGGGATCCACGCCGCGGTGTTGAATTTACCTATGTAACTGGATAGATGGTTTGTAAGTTCGCGGGGATCATACTGAACCGCTTGCGAAACTTACTTGCGCACGGGAAATAATATTGGAAGGAAGTAGCGGACGAGTAAGTTGGGAACACAATAAGGAGATGGGGACGGAGACAAATATCTTCCGCGGACAAGCCCGCGGGGACATAGACACGGCCCTGCAGAAAGAAAGAAAGGTCAAGTATGTACTTCAGTCAGTAGGTTCCTAGACCTGGGATCATGGTGGGATCATGGTGGGATGAAGAGGGAGGTGGCGGGAACAAGGATCAGACCATTGTACAAAGTTGGCGGACTATGATATCGACATCTGCCCCACCGTGGGGCCGTTCGGAGTTTATGAGTTTTCTGGGCTGCGACAGTCTAAAGATCCGCGAGGGGAGAGGAGGGATGGGTCGGGGAAGCGGGGATTAGAAGAGTCGGAATGAGCACAATTGCCGGTCATGGGAAGGGCGGGACTTTAGCACTGACAAGCAAGGAGATAGTACAGGAGTCTAGTTTCAACTGCTGGTCAAGTACAAGTAATGTAGCACGGTATACATACACAAGTAAAGACTGTCCGTCAAGACTATCGTAATTTTTTTGATGATCATCGCGAAAGAGTTTCGGAAGTAAACATGTGGGTATCTAGGTTGGATTTAGGAAGCGATGAGACGAGCGAGCGGTGCACCAGAAAGAAGCCATAGGAAAGAAAAAAATCGTGGAACGTATCAATCTACGGAGACGAACGAGCAAGAAGGCATCGACATGACAGCAGCAAGAAAAAAGTATGTGCTTCAGCAGCCTGTTCCTAATGTATGAGCAACTTTAACACGGGCAACCAGACAGCTGAACTCACCCTGGTCGCACGGATCAAGCACAACAGTGTTCCCAACCACAAGCAGCGGCCGCGGCGCAAAACACACGACCTTGCGGTCGATGGTGCGCATGGAGGTGGACAGGATGGGCGGATACGCGGGGAAGGCCTTAGGGATCTTGCGTCCGGTGTGCGCGAGCACCACCGCCTCCGCCGCCTGCGTGTTGCCCTTCTCCTCGAGCGCGGTGCGCACGCTGACCGCCGCGCGGTAGTTCTCGCTGTGCGCAGAGTACGTGCTGCGCGCCTCTGTCTTCTTCCAGGTCAGGTGCGCGTCGAGGAGCGCTTCGGTGCCGTATTTTCGGATCGCACTGCAGTGCAAATGTCAAGACGGATGCAACGAATTGAAGGAACAGCGGAAGGCGTACATTTGTTTCGCGTGCGCTTCGCTGACGAGTTTTGTCGGGCGCTTGGCTTTGCGCTTGGGATCGAGCCACTCGCTTTGTGCCGCGATGAGGGGAGCACAGGACGTAGCCGGCAGAAGGCTCACAGGGTAAGCACGCCGTAGAGCTCGCGCTCTTTAAGATCGTATTTTGCGAGGGCGCCGCTGAGTAAGATGATCGAGAATTCATCGCGAGGGAGGCACGAATCGCAGACGCGCTTCGCGGCCGAATCAGCTCACGTCACGTGCCAAAACGAGGGCGCTTACCTTCATATATGGGACGAAAACCTGCGACGCGTATTCGCTACACACCGTGCACGAGTTGCTCAAGAACACGTAGACCAGCGTCCTAGCACACACTCAACGTCAGGCCGGTACTTAGAGGAACTTCCGATTCAGGCGTACCGCTTCGCGAACATATCGAGCACATTGAAGCGCGTCAGACACTCTTCGAGGCTTTCCTCCTCGTACGAAACAATCATCTGCTATATCATGAGCGACGGCGGCGAGAAAACGCG